TACTAGTATTGCTGTTGTCCCAGTAAAATGGAGAATTATTTTCCTAACTTTATGTCACTCAACCTTCTCCCATTTACAGTCTAATTGTCCTATTTTTTACAAATACATTTAGAGACACATCAGACAATTATTATAAATTGTTTCTGTCATCAAACATAACTTAGAAACTCAATAAGAGAGACCTATTATGTTTACCAATATTCTTATTATATTTTTTCTTCTTTGTCAATGTTATAATGCTTCTTTTATCATCATTTTTGGCCTTTAGAGAACATCTTTTACCCATTCTTTTAAGGAATGCCTGCTGTTGACAAATTTTTGTAATTTATTTTTATCTCAGAATATGTTGATTTCTTTATTCCTGAAGGGTATTTTCACTAGGAAGAGAAATATAGGTTGACTTAATTTGATAAGGCCTGAAAGGTATCCCTACACTTAATTTATATTTCTTCTATTTTTAAGATTTTTCTCATTCATTTTCAGAAGTTTATTTATGATCCCTCTTGATGTAAATTTCTTCAGATTTACCCTATTCGGGTTCACTCAGCTTCTTGAATTTGTAGATTTATTGCTGAATTTTGAGAATTTTTTAGCCATTATGTGTAGGATACTTCTTCAGCCCCACTTTTCCTCCTCTCTTTCCAAGAGTCTCCAGTGATATAAATATTAGATCTTTTGTTATTTCCCACAGGCCCCTGAAGTTGTGTTCATTTTATCCTAAACTGTTTTGATCATGCCCAAGTACTGTATGTAATTAAGATAGATGAGCTTCAAAAATCATTCTGTTCATTCTACTTAAAAATAGCATAGTATCTCTCTTAGCATTCTATCATTGCATTGTTTGAGTGCTTCTCTCTACCTAGAGAAAGAGACCTAGGGGCAGCTGCTGTTAACCAGTCCTTAAAAAAACTGCTGGCCTAGGGCCAGCCAGATAGCTCAGCAGACTAAAGCACATGCATAGGTAAACACAGGGACCAGGGTTTGATCCTTGGCCTGCTGTGCCAGATTCACCCCCAGGGTGGGCTGAGATAGTGATTGAAACTGGGCGTGGTGGCACGTACTTGTAATCCCCGGACTTGGGAGGCTGAAAACAGGAGGATCACTACGAGTCTGATCTGTGTAGTGGGACCCTGTAAACCCTGTACTAAATAATTTTTTTTAAAAAAAAAGCTGCTGGTCTAACTGACAAAATCCACAGAGACAGCCTGTAATGATTAGTTTTGTAATTTATGCATCTCCATAGGTACATTGTCATTTTGCTTTAGGTTTATGTGACAGGGAAGAGGAGCACCTGGCAACTGAACCCAGGGCTCACACAGACTAGATTCTACCACAGACCTGTGTGTGTGTATGTGTGTGTGTGTGTGTGTGTGTGTTCAAGGTAGAGTATTTCTGATTTTTTTTAGTAACTCTCACATTTTTATATGTTTTTTGTTTGTTTGTTTGTGTATTTGGTACAGGGTCTGCAGGGTCTCACTACACAGAAGGGGCCCTCATGGCACACCGGGAATTGAACCCAGCTGCTGCACTCTGCCAAAGCAGGCACTTGAATCCACTGAGCTACTTGGCCGGCCCTGTTTCATCTTTATATGTTGAAGATAGCATTATTACATTGTCTTTGACAGCTGTGAAAACAAAATGCATGTTTGAGGCTCCTGTCATTTGGCTTTGCCACCTATTCCCATTTTTGTTGTCTTCGTCTATCTAACAAACAAAATTTTTTTAAATGATGTACATGCCATTGTTGTATAGCATTGTGGCGATTGTATCTTTCTCTCTCTTCTCTTCCCCCATAGAAATAAATGAGGAAGAGGAGAAGAAAAAAGAAAAAAGTAAAGAAAAAGTCAAATTGAAAAAGAAAAGGAAAAGGTACTTTTTTTTATTTTGCTCGAATGCCTTCAGGGCAGGTTTGGCTGGCTTGAGTTGTGGGGATCAAACCACAGCAACCCGAGCCTGAGTGCTTTGTTGAAGCAGCCACTTAAAGAACTGAGCTAAGGGGCAGGCCCCAGAAAAGGTACTTTTTAAATAGCATATTATTAAAAGTAAAGTAGAATTGTGAGTACAGGAAGGATTCTAAAATTTTTTCATGTACAGTTCAATTAATTCAATGTTAATCATGTTCTTAATGGGTGCTATATGTTATTTCAGTCAAATAGCAAAGTCCTTCATGTTAGTAATCAAAAATAAGTCATTGTTCAACCAGCTTAAATTTTATTTATGAATAAATAGTGTAAATTAAGGTACAATATCCCCTCTTCTTTTGTTTCTTTTATATATTCTATTCCTATTCAAGATGTTTACATTTTTAGAACAGCGGCCAAGCTTTTAATTAGATGCATCAAATTGCATATGTATTTTGTTGTCCAGTAGATGAACTTGGAACTGAAATATGTATATTCTTGTAAATCATTACCATGGCTAAGAAATTAATTTATTGATGGAATTTAGTGTAACTTGTCGAGCTAAAAATTCCTTCAGGTCTTTCAGAACCTTCACCAGCCACTTGTGAATTTTTTTCTGTTAACTCTTTAACAACTGATTCAAGAAATTACCAAAAATAGAGGCAATTTCCCTGGCTAGTGAGGGAATAAATATACATATACGAACATTTTTTTTTTTTTTTTTTTTTTTTTTTTTTTTGCGGAACCGGGGATTGAACTCAGGCCCTTGCACTTGCCAGGGAAGTGCTTATTCCACTGAGCCATCTCCCTGGCCCCAAACATTTTTAAAGTACTTGGCCATTGTTGGGTCTAGTTTAGACCCAGTTGTCTCACAAAGCAGCATCTGTACATTAGATTTTGTGGCTTTGTAGCTTTAGTGAAGGATTTAATTGCATACATTTTAAAATGAGATATTTTGTAAATTGGAATAGCTTGACCCCTTTTAGGAGTTGGTACTTAGAGAACACTCTCTGACATAAAAGCTACTGGGAATGTAGAACTCAAGATTTCTGACAGTGCATTGTTAAATTATGTGTGCTAAAACAGCATGGTGGATTGCTTATAGAAAGCATGAGGTTAGTTGTTGTCGTCCAAGTTCTGGTATACCTGTTTTATAATAAAGAATTATTTATTCAGTCCTCTGTGTTGTGCCTCACAGACCTTAGACAAAAATCTGAAATTAAATGAAATTTTCTGTATAAAGGTAATGCTGTCTAATAGTATGCTATTTTCCAGCCTAAAATATTGCCTTAAAAATGAGATTAAAAAGACAGGAAAAAATACAAGCAGAAAAGCAGCTCTAGTCAGATTCTAGAGGTCAAGTAAAAGGTGCTCCTTAAAATAGCAAAACAACCTAGGCCCATTGGTATGTGCTTGTAAATCCCACGACTCCAGGAGGCTGAGATAGGAGGATAATGAGTTAGAACCCAGCCTGGGCAAGTTAGCAGCTTATCGAGAGCCAGTTTCAAATGAAAAATTTTAAAAGTGCAGGGAAGGGGGATGTAACCCTGGATTCAGTCTCCAGCAATGAGGAAAAAAAAAAAAGCTAACTAGACAAGATTTGATAATAGCAGGATTGAAGAGGGAATCAGAGAAAATCAGCTCAGCAGGTGGTCAGAAGTCTAAGAAAGCAGACACACCAGGTGGAGAAGAAGATTCAACACACCAGAAAGGAGGGCAACTCAGAGCCAGAGAATATACAGTTCATGCTGCAGACGTGAGATCTCGAGACCTCGTCATCCATGCATTTATTTTGCACCTGCCTTATGTCTGTCTTAAGATTTCTAAGTTGAACTTTTAACTCCTACTATGTAGATTACTGAACTGACTTTTAAGTTGCCAGGTTTTTTTTTTAAAGGTATTATTTTTTAAAATATATTTAGTTGTTGCAGAGTCTCTCCATGTGGCTCAGACTTGTGGTGATCCTTCTACTTGCAGCCTCCCCAGTGCTGTGATTACAGGTGTGCACCACCACACCCGGACTGGCCTTCCCAGGCTGCCCTGGGGGTGGGGCTGTTGCAACATGTGGTGCCCAGGATCAGACTGCAGTTCCTGCGCTGATCTAAGCCTGCCCAAGCAGACACTTGAGTCCACTGAACCATCTCACCAGCACCTACCAGTTTTATTTTCAGTTAACAGTTTCTGTCATTTCATATATATTTTGGATTTGATAGAGGTAAAATATTGTATACCTCTGTTACATAAAATCTGAAATGTTGGCCTTTTTTTTTTTTTTTTTTTTTTTTTTTTTTTTTTTTTGCAGAACCAGGGACTGAACTCGGGCCCTTGCGCTTACCAGGGAAGCGCTTATTCCACTTACTCCGCTAAGCCATCTCGACTGGCCCCTATGTTGGCCTTTTTAGAACAAAAAAAATTCATTTTTTTCGATATTAAGGAAAGAATTATATTTTTGTCCCAATTTCATGTTAGTCTTATTATTAGAATAAATTACAATGATAAATCATCCTCATTTACATAAAGTATTCATTTAAAAGCATGTCTTCTATAACTAGTGAAAATTGAAAATTATTTTGTAATGCAACTATTCATTTGTATCACTGCATCTAGAGTGCAAATGACTTGAAAATCAAAGGAATTATTAAAGTGCTTTTTTTCATTAATTTTTAGCTTTTGTCCATTTATACTAGTGTATAATTACAGCCTTTTTATGTATGGATAATTGCATCTTTTGTGGTACTTTTAAGAGAATAAGCTAACAGTTATTATATGTGCAAGTGAAGTAAATATGTAATAAAGCTTGATGATTACTACTTTCTTGCCCTAAAAGGTTTTGAAGGATAACACAGCATGAAAAACTGAAAATCACACCAAAAAATGTCATCTTTACTGAATTTAAAATTCTTTTCTAAAATTGAGCAGAATATAGAAATCAGTGTTGTCGTTTTCTGTGCCCAGTGGCAAAAATTCTAAATTCAGCACTTTAAGAGCATATAAAAAACATATTGCATTTATGATGAAGAATTTAAAGCAATCCAAATCCCATTTAAATTCACTTAGAAGTTCTAAATATGATTTTCAGCCGTGTCTTATTGTCCATAGGTCTTATTCCAGCTCCACTGAAGAAGACTCTTCCAAACAAAAGAAACAGAAATATCAGAAGAAAGAAAAGAAAAAAGAAAAAAAGAACAAATCCAAAAAAGGGAAGCATCACAAAAAGGAAAAAAAGAAGAGAAAAAAGGAAAAGCATTCTTCTACCCCTAATCATTCTGAATTCACAAAAAAGTAACTGCGACTTCAGCCTAAGTGATTAAATTTAAAATATCATCTTTAAAAAAATGCTCTTTCTTGGATTTTTCTATATAATTATGCTTTGCAGTAAACCTTAGCCCTTTCTGTGTAGACATTTTTCATTGGTGGGACCATTATTCCTCTGGCTGTATGTGTTTAAATAGGTCTTGTACCTCAGTTGCCATGCCTCAAATAGAGATATTTGTGCATAGAGAGCACATTATTTTTGGTATTTGTATCTCTGTTTGGCTAGTGCTATTATGTTGTAAGTTGGTCTTAAATGACCCTTGTACAATGAACACAAATAATTTACCTGTTATTGAATATTCCTGAATCAAGAGTCCACTTTCCAGCGATGAAGCTAGGTAGGGGGTAATGATTTGTTGTTGATGCTGAAAGGTTTAATAGGTTTATATACTGTGACATAATATCTAAATATAGTGAAATTCTTTACTCTTGTATTTAAGTCTCTAGGCTTTTAAAAATATAGTACATAAAACTGCTTTATAGGCCATGGTATCTGCAGGAAGAAAATAAAAATAGTTATAACCAACTTTCATTACTTTATGAAATACAGAGTTTCTAGTACTTGCTTCCTTTTTTATTTTTCAATAATAAAGTGTTTTCTCCTTGTTTAGAGATGAGTTCAACCTGTTTTTTTTTTTTTTTTTTTTTTTTTTAATGTATTTGGTACAGGGTCTAACTAAGCAGCTTGGACTCGTAGTGATCCTCCTGTTCTCAGCTTTTTTTTTTTTGGCGGCACCAGGGATTGAACTCAGGCCCTTGCGCTTGCCAGGGAAGTGCTTATTCCACTGAGCCATCTCCCCGGCCCCAAGTTCAACCTGTAAGAAAGTCTGGCAGAGATGATGCTATATTGGTCAAAGTTTTTAGGGTAGACTCCTGGGTTTTATAGTTGTGCCATATTGGCACTGAGATACCTCAACACAGCCAAATCTTCATTACAACTGATATTTATTGTATTTCGTATATAAACATTATGAAGTTTGTCTATGAGTAATATGGAAATTTTTATGAATATTAGCACATATGTCTCTTATCTGAAGTGATTTATACTTTTGAAGCAAGTTTTACACTTTCTGCTTTCATGAATAATAAGTTTGAGGTGTTTCTCTCTTTTATATCAGTCACCAGTATCAGAGTAAAAACATTTAGAATTAAGAATTTTATTCTGTACTTTTAAAATTGAAGAATTAGGGAGTTACATCATGAAAGCCTTTATATAACAATGGAAATGTTCTACGAGTAAGCAGTTTCATCTGCTTGTTGATAGATATAAATGTTCCTTACATTTTTAATTTCATCATGATCAGTGTTATTTAATTTGCTTCACTTAGTATTCCTGATACCAAATAAGTGACACTTTTATATTGTAGCAACACTGACCCAACCTGTTATCATGGGAGAGCACCAAAGATACCAAGTACCTCACTGTGGGGCACTTAAAAGTTTTCATGTTGGTAACCTACGCACATGGCTCCAGGTGGGTGAAGTCCCAATGGCAAAATCACCTATGTTCACTTTGCCTCAAAGGCTGGAAGCAGTTACGGAGTCTTCCTTGAGGGGCACCCTTCCCAGCATGCCCCAACAGGGGAGCCGCACACACAGCTCTGCCCCAGCCTTTGAGCCTCAGAAGTCCTCAGACATCCAGCTTTTCCAGACTTGTTTACTCACTTGGTTCCCTCACAGAGAAACTGTAGTTTGAAGTTCAGTCATCAGAAAAAATACTTAGATTTTCTTTAACAGTCTGTTTTTGCTTTCACTATTTATCTGATGAAAAAGATACAGTTCTTTCATTATCATGATTTTTTTTAAGTTGGTTAAAAAAAAAGCTCCTTAAAAAATGTTTAGTAGATTCTACACTGTGTATGTAATGGAGTAATTCCAGTACACTTAATCAAGTTACTTGTTTTCCTTCTGTTAATTGTAAAGATTATAAATTAATTAATTAGGTTTGTTTTCTGAACAGTGACAGAACTTATGACTCACAAGTCATATAAAAATCAGCCTTCATTAATATACGATAGAATACAAAAGATTTTAATGGCTCAATTTTTCCCCAGAAATAATCTTGGAATTATTCTTGTTTTTTTCCATATTAACATAGTTTATAAACTATTTCATTTGAATTAAAGTCATTTTACTAATTTTCTCCTGAGATGATCTTGCTGTTAGTGCAAATATCACTATTAAATTTCAGGGGGAAATTAATGAAATTTTATCCCCCGCAGTATACGACAGAAGGAAAACAAGCTTCAATAGTAACAATCCAGAAGTCATGACCATCCTCACAAAGTAGCCCACTCCTCATAGTGTAACCCTGGATAGCCCTCAGCAAAGTCATCTAGCTTCTTTGGGCCCTGGTGTCTTTTACTGATAAGCTGTTGTACTATCTCGGACATCACATCTATATTTCACTGTATATGATTGCTAACATTTTAGTAAAATTCAAGTATTACTTTGAAATTGTTATATATGCGCAGATAGTGTTCTATAATAGTAAAAGTTGAATTTATTAATGCAGTTATTAAACATGAACTTTTACAACAAATAATTGGTTTGTTCTTTTTGTTGCCACCCTATGTCTGTCACTTTCATTAGATGCAGACAATTTATATTTAAATTTATATTTGTGTCTGTAACCACAGTATCTGAACACTTTAAGGCTATTGTTTTTAGGTGATAGATCTACTGCCCTACATTTCTCCATTTTTTTCTCCATATCACCTGTTGGCTAAAATCTCTCAAGCGTATTTTTAGTTCTTCACACTTTATATATCTTCATTTACATCGTTAATTCCCAAAAGCCAAAGCATCAGTTACTGAAAAAATAACAATATGTGTCTATTTGCTGTGCTATTTAAAATTATGTAACTGTAGGTCACCTTCAGTAGTAAAGTAGGCTTAAAACTTACTAATAATGTTCATTAAAGTGCCATTGAGTCATCTTTTCAACAAATCTTGAGTACCAACCATGGCAAATCCTGTGGTGCTAGGGAGTGAAGAGACGTCTACATAAAACACATTCACTTCCCTGAAGGAGTTGACAGTCTAGTTGGTGTGAGAAACACTAGACCACACCATTATTAAACAGTTTCAGTAATCAATTCAAACATGGCCTTACAGAAACACAGATGGGTGTCTAACCTACTTTGAAGATGTTAAGCGAGGCCACCTAGAGAAAATAATGCTTGAATTTCATTTTGGTTGGAGATAAGGGTGACATGGTCAGGATGGGTACTATAAACTGATCACATACAGAATTACTCGCATGTAAGAATTATAAGCAATTCCATGTTGCTGTTGAGTCATATGTTAAGAGCAGTAAACATTGAGACTACCATTTTAGATTATTGAGCTCAAGACAGGATCTTGTGTTCTTTGTTCAGAAGTTTGGACTTTAATCTGTTAGCAGTGTGATGTAATCAAAAAGTTTTAAAGAAGGAAATAACCATTATTGGGATTTGATTTTATCGATTTCATAAACCTATTCTGCAGTTTTTTAAAGATAAAGTTGTCATTAAAAGTTGTTGTCCCATGAAATGTCATGTGATTCTGTTTTGTTACTTATATTTTACTAAATCTACTTTTCTTTCCAAGAACTGATTATTTTTACCAAACTTACAGTGACTTAAATTACCTAAAAACACAAAATTCTGCTATGTTCTTTATCAGACTCAGTCCCAGAATTATGGATATAAATACTTTCTGTAATTTTTTAAAATTATAGTTTATTTTTGAAAGGCTTATAAATTATCTGTTTTTATTTGTTAGGTCCAAATAAACCATTTAAAATACATTTTTCAATGCATAGACTGTCATAGTTTGATAAAGCTTCTTGTTCTTAATATTTTTATCCTACCTTATGAAGCACAACTACTTCAAATTTACAGAGAAAGACGCCAGCTGGCCCACTGGAGGAGCCCTGAGCTCTTCCTCAGGTATCCTAGTGATACAAGCTACCTCAGCAGGGAACCAGCCAAGGAGCCCCTCTGTTCCTAGTGCAGACAGACAGACCTGCTGGGCAGTTGTCTAAGAACAAACAGTATGTTTCTTCTGCCAGTGACAGGAATCCCAGTTGCCAAGCCCACAATATGTGGACCTCACCTATTTTCTCTCAGCTTCTTGGAAAATACTCAGCATGGCAGCAGATTGGTGTCATTCAGCCACGCTCAGCCCCTATTTGCCTGTTGTACAGCCAAGGCGTCTTGGGGACCAGAGCATTTTGTTGACCTTGAGTCTCTGTTTTCTGCCTGTGTCATGAATGGCCTTGCCCTTGGGCACCAAGTGAAACTATGCTGCAGTGCCTTCACTTTCTTACCTAGATTTTCACCTGAGACAATATAGTAATATATTACTTCCCATATATCAGATTTTCTGGGATATTTTAAAAATCAAAGCTGTATAAAAAATTTGAGACACACAAGATCTAGGAGCTTTCAAGAACTAAATGAAAAATCATTGCTTTTATGACCTCATTTCACTTTTATAATGGAAAAGTTTCAACTTTCAATACATTTAAGCAATTTTAATATTTAAACATTGGGAAAAAAATGTTCTTTTTGAATGTGAAATCTATGTCAAACAGTAGGATGTGCTGATAATGATGTGGGACTCTGCTGTCAATATAACCACATGTGGTTATTTAATTTTAAGTGGCAAATGTAGCAGACAGGGCAAAGTAGAAAGAACATTTCTGTCATCAAAGAAACTTATTTTAGACAATACTGGTCTAGAAGACATACATGGTTCTTGATAGAAATTTTGACAGCCTAATGATGAAAAAGTTTCTAACCCCAAGCTTTGCATGCCAAGCACAATAGGCTTTTGTGTGTGTGTATTTTGGTTTTGTTGTTGTTGTTTCTTTTTAATACCAGACCAGAGAAGCTGTACTCAAGCTATTTTGGAAGGCTAATCTTCTGACTATAGACACTTTATACAAAGCAGCAGATGTGTGTAGTGGAACTGGCTTGAGTCTTTATTGAATTCCATTATAAAATCAGATCTTTGTTCCTATAATAAAGATCACATTTATGATTAAAACATTTAAATATGCATGAATTGCAGAAAGTTATTTCTCAAAGTCTAGGTGGTATTAATATGATAATAGTAGATTAAATTCAGTGAACTGTATGGTTTTATAACTCAACAGGGATTCTTAAGGAAATTTATCAGTGAAGGATTCTATTATGATTATGCCTTGAAATACAGAAAACAGGGCCAGGGAGATAGCTCAGTGGAATAAGTACTTCCCTGGCAAGCACAAAGGCCTGAGTTCAATCCCTGGTTCCACCAAAACAAACAAAAAAACAGAAAACACTATACAAATTACACAGTGTGGTTTTTTTATATATATATATACTGGATATTAACTTTTAAAAAGATTATATTGTGTCCCCAGAAAATCCTCCAGAAAGGTATGGGTTGATTTTTTTTTTTCTTTTTTTTTTGTGCAGGGTCTCACTATGCAGCCCAGACTCACAGTGATCCTCCTATTTTCAAGCCTCCCAGCACTGGGATTACAGGCGTGCACCACCACTTCCCAACATGGTCCCCAGCTCAGCGTGCCCAGGGGCGGGGCTGGCACAGCATGTGGTACCAGGGATCAAATGCCAGTCCCTGAACTTGCCTAAGCAGGTGCTTAGTCCCCTGAGCTATCTCACCAGCCCTGGTGTGGGTTGATGATTCTTAAGACACTTAAGAACATGTCACTTCTTCTTTATAAAATACCTTAGATTTACCTATCCAGTACCATCATCTCTAATATAAAAATAATTCCCTGTATCAAAAAATTGTGAAATGTCATGTCATGTAAACTTTTCATTATTTCTAAGATAGCTTTCCTTATCTGTGTTATCGATAAATTCCTTAATTTCTCCAGAAAATTAGCATAATTTGGTGTAATGCATAAACATCAAGTAAAAGTCAATTTATGCATGTAAAAATATAAAAATCTTAGTAAGTGATCAAATAAAGTTAGCCAATCCAAACTGTAGCTGTTTCTTGTGTGTGTGTGTGTGTGTGTGTGAATAGGAAACATTAGAAATACAAAACTACAAACTATGGTTTGAAATGCATTCTTTATTTGTGTTGCTCCATCTCTCCAATGAGCTTTTAAAACGGGATTTTTCACTAGTAAATAATATTGATTTGTGCTGTATCCATTCCTTTCTCTTGAGTTATATCATCAGCTTCATAGGATGTTTCATTTGTTGAATTTGATGCTGCATTTGAATTGAGGGCTTTGGCTTTCCTATTTAAGTTGCCAGCAAATACAGAAAAATAAAGTTGTTTGAAATTATGCTTTGAAATCTGACTTTTTGTGAGAATTCTAATTATACAAACATAAGTTTCTTGATTGTGGCACAGAGTGAACTATTACATGACTGATCCGTAAATTCTTCATTTTTATTTCAGACAATTTTTATTGTTATATCCATTTAAGTTTGTAAATAATTTTTTACACTGTGCAATCCATTATTAATCTCCATTATTAATGCTATGCATGCATTTATTAATGCTATGTATTCATTTCAGAAATATTTCTCTAAAATTCACTGTCGACATATTATATCTTTCACATTTCACTATTTGTCTACAATTTTATATGCTATATAATTATTGATTTTCAATAAAGATAATGAGGAAAAGAAAAGAAATTTGACTTTTTAAAATGTGTGCTTAAATCAATTTTCCTAACAATACTGAAAGTATGATGTCTTAAAAATGCTAGGTAGATGAGTTAGAATTGAGTAATTAGTGTACCTCAAAATGGAAAATATTTAGTCATAGATATAAAACTTTCATTTCCATACTTACCTTTCTTTCTCCATAGTTCTGTGAGGAAAACAGATATTTGATAAGTAGGTAACAGTTTCTGGATCTCTTTAATAAAATGTATAAACTGTCCCGTGCAGAAACTGAAGAAACTGCTTTAAAGCCAATCATTATAATTTGCAACTATCTTAAGTGTCGGCCATCACAATCAATTTATATCTAACACTTTAAAAGGACACAATCATAGGAGAACCTGTACTTTAACAACATGTAACTCAATTGTGCTCCAAATTTTCTGATAAAGAAGATTATGGAGCCACAGAGGAATGTGTTCGATGATCTAAAGTGAGCCTGGGGAGAGTCACATGGAGAGAAAAAACATTTTCTCAAGCTTTCACAGAGAGCAAATTGGT